GCGGTTCATTGTTTCTCAGGTACAACATAGTGTGTACAACATTATAGTCATACTGTATATCTGTGGTACCCACTCTCATATCATATGTGTTGTAAATACATAGCACAGGTGTAAATGCTATTAAGTCTAAGTCTAACCCAGCTTATCTGTCTTCTGTGTACCAACTTAGGCGTATGTCCACAAAAGTGTGATGGAGGAGCTGAAGAGGATCATCGATGACAGTGAGATCACCAAAGAAGATGATGCACTGTGGCCGCCTCCTGACAGGGTTGGCAGACAGGTGTGTGTCGATCACCATCAGTGACCATATTATCTTACATGTTTTCTCTAGAAGCTGGAAGATACCATCTTAGATGAAAATGGAGTGAGGAAAGATAAAGTGAATTGGTATCTTCCAGCTTCTGACTGAACACACCTGAGCCAGGTAATCAGCAGCAGGTCAGGCAGGGATAGTTGGAAAACAAGCAGGACAGCGGTCCTCGAGGACTGAAATTGGCCACCCCTGCTCTAGAGCTCTGTAATTTTCTATGGTTTTGATTGCTTCATTTACACTGGACCCACTGTACTTTAAAAGGTTTTCCACTGTCATCTTAGGAAATGTTTTTGCTGTGTCACATAATGTTTGTTATTCTTCTATTCATGTCTGTATTGTGTTTGCATAGGTCATATTTTGTTAGCGGTGACCATAGCACGTGCAGAGCATCGGTCAAACCACTGATATTACTGGTCACAGATTTCACTATAGTACATCAATTTTGCACTGATGAATTTAACCAAAAGCATATCTGAATTACCTTCTGAATAACTTGCTTGTTTTGATTCTAACATTCACAGGAGCTGGAAATTGTAATTGGAGACGAGCACATTTCATTCACAACTTCCAAAATTGGCTCCTTAATTGATGTCAACCAGTCAAAGTGAGTACTATGTATATCCAAGAGCTGGGAAAATATCTATATATTTGTCAATGACAAAACATTGACTCAAAAAACTGCTTGTTTCAGGGACCCTGAAGGTCTTCGTGTGTTTTACTACCTGGTGCAGGATCTGAAATGTCTTGTCTTCAGTCTCATTGGTCTACACTTCAAGATCAAGCCCATCTAAAATGTGGATTTTGTTCATTTTAATTGCTTTAGCTGTTTGTTGTTGAACTTCCGCATTTGTACATTTGCTTATGGTCATACAGTTTTTTTTTTTATTTTAAATAAAGGGTGACAAACCTTACTGTTTTGCCCAAACTTACTTGTTTGCTGTTCATTCCTATGCTGGTATCAGAACTACAAGTAATAGGCTCGGGTTTAAATGACACCTGTATAGTCTATAGTCGTGTACGGAGTTCCAGTTTTAAGAAAGTGGCAGGTTTATATTGCAAGATGTTACACAAAACATTTATCATAATGGAATGGGGCAAATGTTAAATTGTTTTATTTCACAATATACACTAATGCTTGAAATGACAACAGTTAAGAGAATTTGAATACACATTGTTACATTGACAGTAAGTTCTCTGGTTAAAATTCACAGCATTTTGGCAGGACACAGTATTCGTCTCCATACTGCATATTGTATTGCAAAGCTACATTTATAAAGACTAATCCTGTGACCAGCACTTCCAAACTGGGCTGAAAATGATTTCAATAAAGTAACTGTAACATAGCTAACACACTGGTACATCACAAAGTCTAGCTGTTAAATTAGTAACACACTTCAGTGAATAATGACTCGGAAAGCCATTGGATTAAATTAGCTGAAAAAAACAATTTAAAGTAGATTTTTTTTTTCTCTCTCTTTTTTATGCCTTAAATTTTAGGTCTTGTGACTACAGTTGAAGATAAACTTTTTTGTGAAATGAGATTTTGATTTTGCATCAATTATATCACCTATTTATACCTAGATTAATATGCAAACCCCTTCAAAAATTGCCTTAACATCCTAACCTATGTGGCCATTACCATTTATTTCTTGAAAAACACTGAAGCACTGTGATTATTCTGTGGTATGGAAAATATATTTGTCTCACTTTCTGCTTCTTTGTGTGGAACCATTAATCAGGAGCTGAGATGGGTGGCTGCACTCGTCTTCTCTATGATGAACAACTTTTATTTTACTTTGGTGAATCAAACATTTGTTTCTTAACTGAGTGGCTTTCCCTCCAGGACAGCAAAAATGTCCTCTAAAGACTTGCGGACACACTCCAGGAACTCGTGGGCGTTGCGAGCTGGGTAGCTGGACACGTTGCAGCCGATCCAGTCGTCTTGGACACCGTAGCCAACACCAAACCCATCAGGCACCACTGGGGCAAACCCGCCAAGGGCCACAGCTGGACTCGTGAGGGTGCTAGTAGAGAGGATGTTGTGATTGATGGCGGCATACGCAGGGTCAGTGTACAGACTGTGCAGAGCCTGGCCCTTTGAGTTAGCCAGGTATCGCAGGGCAAACAGATGGCGGTCAAAACCTTGGCCTGGTGAGAGGAAAAAAAAAGGCTAGTGCAACAGGTCAAAGTATCTGAAAGTTAAGACCACTACTGTCCCCGTTTTATACTGCATAGTCCTAGGCTTTAGGTATGCTGTTTTTACAATGGAAAAGTGAGCAATTAGTCGACAAAAACAGTTGGTGTGTATGGTTAAAAAAAGTATGCTGCTGATGTACACTATTCACCCACAATGAAATGCACAAAGGACACTTTAAACTGATGCTGAATGGTAGTGAAACACACTAAAACTATTGGCCTTCATTCTAAGATTGGAGTTTCATTGCCTTTGCACTGTGCATGTGCATTGTGTCCTATTACTATGAAACGATGAAGGATGTTAAGTTCTTGTAATCCATAATATATTCTGTATACTTGGGACAAAGGTTATGTCTTGACTTTGAAAATCTTACATCAGGAGTAGGGCTCTTTAAAAGCAGACACATAATAAGTTGGACGCTGGCAATAGCCAACAGTCAATGTGACCGTCTTTAAAACCCCTGGCAACCTATGTCTTCAATTAGCTCCTGATTACAAGTTATGGGATCCTTTTTCTGCCCAAACTAGAACCAGTTTGGGTGTATCCCATAACCTAGGGATATTTTTTCCCTGAACTTCAACTTTGTTGCTTCTAAAGTCATGAATTATCTGTGCAATACAGAAATACTTAAATCCCAAACCAAGTCTTCAGGAACTTTAGCTGACAATTCATATATAAAAAGTGATGAATCAGCCTAACCTTTGCTGTAGTAATCACAAGAATCAATGTACATGTACAATAAATATGAACTTATTGCCCCAGATGTAAATTATAAAATTCTGATATAAGATGGAATCTTAACACAGTTAAGGTTTTATGTCTCATACCTTTTTCAGCTCATACAACATACATCTCTCATCTTTGCTGTTAATAAATTACCAAAGCATCTTAACTTGCATATAAAATTACCAACAGGAGTGGAGGAATGTTACAGTGTAATGACTGCAAGTAAAAAATAAGTTGCTTCATCGTGCCGTTTCATAAACATGCTTCAATTCTTAGTCTTTGGTCCAACATAAATATTATATGTAATTATGAACTGTAATCATTACAATACATGTACACACCCATAGCTGCTTCCTTGGTGAGCTTCCCATGATAATTGGAACATTCACTGAGCATGGCGCGTAGCTGCTCCACACTGTGCTGCCCTGGCTGGAACACAAAGGCGTGTGAACATTTTTTGGTGTGTATGGTAGCTGATCGGATGGTCTCTGTGCGCCCATGCTTGAATGCCGCAGTGCTACAGGACTCGTATGTAGCTACAGTCTGTCCATATTGCCTCAGGAAGGCCATCTGAAAAGCTAGTTGCGTTATAGCATCTGGACTCAACTTGCTCTTCTTCAGCTGTTCCTTCCCACCTTTCCTGAACTGCATGACATCAATGGTGAGTTTTGACACAGCTGAATCAAAATTTGCCTTGGCTTTTTTGATGCCACTCTCCAGCTCGCTGTTCAAGTTGAACTGCAGTCTGCGCACAGCAGAGGCTGAATCCACAGCAGCAGCAGGAGAGCCCGGGTGTACCAGTGGCTGTTCTGTTGTGTCTTTGAAGATCTCGTTCTGAAAGCGGAGTACAGCTACTCCGTCGCCCCAGGAGTGCTCAAAATTGACAGATGCCTGTCCGTCTTTGGTGAGAATGAGGCTGAAGGACTTGTCATACCACCGGTTGCAGCCGTCGCCGTGGAGCATGTTGTAAGAGATGTGAACAGGATCCTGCATGCTTTTCTCGTCAAGGCAGAGACAGAAGATGGCGCTGTCAACAATGTGTAAAACCTCTGCATTTCCAGCTGCTAGCAGCTTGTCCCTCAGCCCAGCCCACACGTCCCTGTTCTCACTGGTCAGCACCCCAGGAGGAAAGGCAGCTGCTGGTGCTGGGTCAGACAAAATGTACTTCAAGTGGGACTGAATCTCTGCAGGCTTCACCAAGTTCCCATCCCGGTCTACAATGTCAAACACATACATGTTGCCCTTTCTCATAACCAGGAGATGTCGGCCTTTCTCATCAGTGAAGAGCTCATCTCGCCCACGCTTGGGAATCCGAGTGGAGTTGAAAAGGCGAAAGTACTGAGACATGTCCAGGGGGTATGCATTCACCATGTAGGCTCCATACCAAGACAGAGAGGATGGGACCAAACGGATGAACCTCTTGAAGCTGTCTGTGTCACTCTTTGCTGGGTTTAGATGGAAAACCTCTGGCTCCAGTAACCCAGCTCGCAGAGTCTTCATGAAGCGCACTGCTGAACACACCATATTGGTCGCCCGTACAAGCTGGTCGTTGTACTCTCTCTTAGGATCAGGAGTGAAGGATATGAAGGGATTGAAGTTCAGCACCACAGAGTCACGTGCAGACAGGTACATATCAAACCATGGTCCTGAAAGAAACAATTTATTGATATTTGTCTGCATGTGAAATTCATTTCAATTCAGTTTTATTTGTATAGCACCAAATCACAACAAAAGTCATCTCAGGACACTTTAAAAAGTAAGGCCTAGACCTTACTGTTATTATTATAAAGAGAAAAACCCAGTAAATCCCCCTCGATCAAGCACTTGGTGACAGTGGGATAGAAAATCTCCCTTTAATGGAAGAAACCTCCGACAGACCCCGGCTCTTGGTGGGCGGCCTTCTGCCTCAACCTGTTGGGGTGAGTGGATAGAGGAGAGACAAAAGAAAAGAAAAGCAACAAGACACATGCTTAATTTCAGTTTAGTGATCAGCTGAATGGTATATTCACCTGAGATGTAGCTTGTGTGCTTATTGTTTCTATCCTGAGCCACCAGTTCCTCATGCAGCTGTTTCCCCACACCACTCTGGAAATCCTGTGCAACTTTCTCTGTTGTTCTGAGGACGCAGGAAATATTTTTACCCAATTTAAACTGTTATAATGGTAACTGTGTATCAGTGACTTAATTTTAAGGGTTGATTCCCTTGTTGAAACAGACCTAAACTGGTCATCATCCAACAGAGGCCTCTGAGCAGCTAGATACCTCCGGATAGTATCCTCCAGATTTGGTATGGGTAGCCTAAAAAATAAAATCACAAAAGATGAATCAAAGAGACTATTCAGCCTTTAAACAGTCCAGTAAACGTTATATTTCAGCCATGTCACCGCCCCCCAGTGGTCACCGAACGTGAGTCAGTTGTGCACTTTCACCTATATTCACCTAAATGCTTATACTGTAGGTCACCCCTCTAATTTAAAACACTTTGCTGCATCAGTCCAAGGTCATTTAGATTCATTTTAGATCACATATATTTTGAATTATAACCATACTCTAGACTAATGTGAGATAAACCGTGCTTGACAAAATTAATATTTAACCCTTTACCTGGGTAAACTCTTTTGGTAATGCATCGTTGGCACCACACTTTGGTGCAAATAGTCGCTTGAACGCGCTTTTCTGTTGCTGTAGCTTCGCCTATCGACCCCCAGCGCAGCGGTCCGTAAATGAATTAGACTTCCAGATTTCTTCAGGGAGGCACCGCATTGCATTGAAAGCAGACTGGCCATGGTGCAACTAGCTAAAAATGAACACCTGATGGGGTTTTGTCACATCAAATAGTTAAGCCTAACAGAGCGGCATAAAAACTAAGGACACGTCTTTATCACAACTGTCAACTTAAGCAAACACGGTAGCTAGCGAACAATAGCAACTACCATTAGCTGACAACTTTTCGGTGCGCATAGTCAACGAAAATATGTCATATAAAACCCACTCTCGACTTATTGCAAAAACAGTTAAATGATACGATAATAAATAAAACATTAACTTCTTCTTCTAGGTGCTAAAAGAGCAAAACATTAACTGAATTGATGACAGGAAGTTATATCCGACAACACTAGTCACGTGACTACCTCACCGTATATATTACTCTATGCAGCCAGAAGGTAGGGCAAGTTCAGAGGTGGAAAGTAACTAAGTACATTTACTCAAGGACTGTACTTAAGTACAATTGTGAGGTATCTGGACTTCAGTGTTTCCATTTTCTGCTACTTTGACTTCACTGTATTTCAGAGAAGCATATTGTACTTTGGCTCTACATTTATTTGGTAACTAATAATTACTAGTTACGTTTCTGAAAGAGGTCAATAAAATACAGTATAATAACAAGATTTAATGATCCTTGTTATAAAACCCACAAGTTACACAGCAGCAATTTACATTCTAAGCATAAAAGTTAGTTTAAACTGTACATAATAATAATACATCAATAATTGTAATTGAATAATATGATGTACATCGATAGAAACTATGCCATTTTGTATAATGAGTATGTTTGCTTTTGCTACTTTAAGTATATTTTCTGCTAATACGTTTGTACTTTTACTTAAGTGACATGTCATATGTAAAGCTTTTACTTGTAACAGAGCATTTTTACACTGTAGTAATGCTACTTTTACTTAAGTAAACAGTCTGAGTACTTCTTCCACCACTGGGCAAGTTCAGTGTGGAAGTGCAAGCGCAGGACAGAGAGGGTGCTGTAGCCTATACTCTACAGATGGTAAAGTAACACTATGCCTCGCAACAAAGCACAAGCAACCTACTTTGAAACAGTAGGCATTGCAGGCGGTCCCTGATTGTACTTTCATTGTAGAAATTGTTTTTAAAACTTGTTTCCATTTATTTCTTATTGTTTGTGAATAATCAAATTCAGCAAATGTATACAATTTAGAAAAGCCAAGGTGACTTTCAGGTTTAAAATAGTGCCCATCCGGTGTAGCCATGCCACAACAGTGGTCCTCAGCTTATATTCTTAGTCAGAATGTTGGTCCCTGGGTCACAATTTGTTGAAAACCCCTGCATTGCTTATTACATTTTTAACAGGGTAACTAGTATTCTGTAACCTATTAGATTTCAAAAGTAACCTTCCCAACAATGTATATGTCAGAATATAGTAACACAGGGTGTCAATAGACTATATAAATGGCAAAAATGTCTGAGGAAATTTATAAACAGTGTTTTCATTACATAAGTTGCCCACCAGAGAATAGTAAAATGCCTTACTCATTATGTGTCTTCACAATTCACAATCATAATTTTAGGTATTCATGACCCAAAGTAAAGAGTCTAATGTCTGAGCACGAACACTGTTATATGGATGTTTTTTCACATGAAAAATTTTATTGTGTGTCATCTCAGTGTAAAATGTGCCTAAGTGAACCCTAAAAACTCAATGTTATTTTGACAATAAAAATTCTTACCATAATGCGATGGATTTCACAGAGGCAACCAGCTCCTTATTCTACAGAATGAATTTTCAGGCAGTATCCAAATGGTACTTAAATATTAATGAATGAAAAATTTCAGACATATAAGATAATGTTTGAAAACCATATTTACATACTCAAATTTTAAAGTTTATTTTTGAAGCCTTGTGCAGAAAAAGTGGACTTTGGCAGATGAAAAAAATCCATTTCCATTATGTTTTTATGTGGTCTAACCAGTAGAGTGCAGTGTTCTCCTGATCAGTGGCTGCTCTGTTAGTTGGTTCATCAGGTCATGAGGTAAATAACCTACAGTACATTGAACAGCCTGGCCTGGCTTTCCATGGCTTGGCAAGCACTGAGCTTATAATATGTGAAAGAAGAGAGACAAAGAGTCAGTTGGCCTTGACCCCTCCTCCATGCACTGACCACAGCCATTCTCTGAAGCTTCCTCTCCCCTCAGCCTCCCTGCACTAAAAATGGAGATAATGGAATTATATGATGTTCGGGAGCAGGACCTGACACAAACTCTTTCTGTTTCTACAATATTTAAACCACTGAAACCACACTAACCCACTTCTGTTATTCCATTAGAAGGCTGAAGCTTGAGTACTGTGCACCTGCCATGCATTCCCTGTGGCTTTCTCCATCCGCCAAAGAGCTGCTTTCCATGTCAGCTGTCCTTACCCCCGTAGAGGCTCCACATACCAGGGCTTCCATGCCAAGGAATGCTGGTGCAACTTCATCATCTTGGTGCCCCTCAGTGACTGCTTCAAGGGCAACAGCTCAGACAGCTTCCGCTCTGGCTCTGGCATTGTCACTGGACCTCCTTCACACGTACGACAGGCCCAGGGACCAATAGACTTGTTGTGTATTTAGCTTCAGATGCCGACTTTCTTCATCTCCCAAGACAAGCCACCACTACCGGGCCTCTTTGAAGACTTCCCGTCACTCTGGTTCTCACTATTCCAACTTCCCTGAGACCTGCACTTCTGCCGTTTCTCCATTCTATATACACCTCCCTGCTACTCAGCCTGCTCTGCAGGACACCAAGGGACCCATGCTGAGGCTGTGGCTCACTTCACCTGAACCCGAGGCCATGCAGGCTGCTCTAGAACCCCAGTGTTCCTTTAACTCAGCTTCTTTCCAGCTCTCCACTGTCTCCTCCCTGGACTCTCATCTCAGACCAGACGATGGCATGTCTACAACACGAGCTCCGAGCCTGGCATATTTTGTTTCGCCACACTGATACGAAGGCCACATAATTTCAGTTGCTTTCTGCTTTGGAGCCACCGTGCACTCATTCTCCAGAAATGCAGCTTTCTCAAGACAAGAGACTCTGAAGAGTCCCCTACCAGCACTCTCCGGCTGTCATTACCTCACCAACGATGGTAATCTCCTGAACATGGTGGATGTTTCCTTCCCGTGCTCCGGCCCTCAGGCTGCTCCACCTTTCATCTCATCCTTCCCTCTGTCTCTTTTTTTTCCAGGTACCAAGCCTCCACCTGTTCTTTTGTCTTCCTTTCCGCCTTTTTCCACCTCTCTCCAGCGCAGGTATCAGGCTATCCTCTTTTGTTTGTTTCTGTCATGGCACTAAGCTGCTGGCTGTCCACCTTGCTTCCTGCACCTATGGGCACTGGGCTGTCTCCTTTTGCCTGTTCAGTGGGTACTGGGTTTCTGGCCGCTTTTTCTATCTCTCTCAGGCACCAGGCTGCCAGCTGCCATTTCCTACACAGACACTGGGTCATCTGCTGTGTTCCATGGTTCTGATGGGGCTGGGCTAACAGCTGTTTACTCCTCCACAAACATCATGCCATCCATCGCAGCTCCTACACCGATTATCAACACTACTGCAGCAGCTGCTCCTCCACCAGCCACAGCTTCTTTCATTTACACTAGCAACCCATTTCCTCTCTTCCCTGCAACGGCAGCTGCCTCAGAAGCACCCCTCCTGATGCAGACTCTGTATATGTCTCTACACCCCCTCTTTCACAAGATCCATCCAGTGACCCAGTTGTATACCCTTACCACAGCCACGCTTTCCCAGGGCATGCCTCCTCCGCGGTCGTCTCCTGTCAACGCTTACATCTGCCAGCAAATTATTGCAGGTAATTATGTAGATTTAGCTGAATTGCTGCACCCCTCCATCATTCCTCCTTCCCAGCCTCATACAGTGTTCAGTCCAGATGGCATGGTTCTCTTGCCCAGCAAAGCTCCAGCTAAATCTAAACACCTCATGGTCCTGGAGTTTGCCTTTGCATTCTCCTTATCTAGAGATGTTTTGTGCTCATGTTTAAGTTAAAGGTACACAATCCAGACTTGATTAGAAAGCTGGAAGATAACTTATAAACTTTAACAATCAGTCTCTCTGTGTGTTTGGAACTATGCAGAAACAAGAATGAAAGGTAAAATCCTTTTGTGCAACCATATCAGCCTACTGCTAACAATCATACCCAAGGACAACCACTGATGAGAATTCTCCTTTATTCCCTAAAATTACTTCTTTTTTGTATCATTTATAGTGATTATACACAACACTGCAGTAACAGTGTGGTAATAATTTACAGATGGTACAATGATAATGGCAGATTAATCCCTCCTCTGTCTTGGAAGTGATCAAGTGTATTTTTGGTGGGGACTTCTAACAGTCTTAGTGTAGAATTGATTTAAAATGTCTGCACTGCATTTCACAAAAAATATGACAAACATTTACACAATGTTGGAGTTGTACAGGATTACACAAACAAGTTTCAAGAGTTGGCACATTGAAAAGCTAAATGCAAATCAATGGCTGTTTGGAAAGGTAGGCCATAATACATTCAAAATCTTTAGCCTTACATTTAGTTGTGGAAAGTAAGCTGTAGTGAATGAACTAAACATGCAAAACCACAGAAGCCCTGGTCCTCTAAATGCACTCTTTAAACTGAGAAGTGGGAGGTCACTTTTATGTGCATAATGCAGTGTAGTCTAGTAAGGCTATTTTTCAACTTAAATTGTTGCAGGCAGCACAATAAAGAGTTAGCCTATTCTAGTATACATAATTTATCAACAAATCATCCATCCATCCATTATCTCCTGCTTATCCGGGATCTGGTTGCAGTGGCAGCAGGTTCAGTAAGGTAGTCTAGACAACCCTCTCCCTGGCGATGTGTTCCAGCTCCTCTGGCAGGGTTTTGAGGCATTTCCAGGCCTGATGAGTTCTGGGTCTGCCCTGGGGTCTCCTACAAGTTGGACATGCCCGGAACACAGGAGGCTGAGTAGTGTGATACCCTGATGATTGGAGCACATAGTCCAGTCACCTTTTTTAAAAATGGGAACCACCACCCTAGCTGCCAGTCCACAGGCACTGTCCCTGTCCTCCATACAACACTGAAGAGGCATGTTAACCAAGACATCCCAACCAGAGCCTTCAGCAGCTCAGGGCTAATCTCATCCAAACCTGGCACCTTGCCACCGAGGAGCTATTTGGCTGCTTCACTGACCTCTGTCAGGGACAATTAGTGAGGTTTCCCCTGAGTCTTCTGTCTCTTCCTCCTTGGATGACACGCTAGATGGGTTCAGGAGTTCCTCAAAGTGCTCCTTACACCACCCGACAATATCCCCAGTTTGAATCAGCAGTTCTCCTCCCCTGCCAAACACAGCCTGGGCCAAGCCCTGCTTTCCCTTTCTGAGTTGTCGGATGGTTTGCCAGAACTTCCTTGAGGCCAACCTTAAGTCCTTCTTCTTAGCCTCACCAAACTCCTTCCACACCTGAGTTTTTGCATCCGCAACCATCCAAGCTGCAGCCCTTTTGGCCTGCTGGTACCCGCTAGCTCCTTCAGGAGACTCCTGAGCCAACCAAGCCCTGTAGGCCTCCTTCTTCAGCCTGACAGCTTCCTTCACTGCTGGTGTCCACCAACGGGTTCTCAGGTTGCCGCTGCAACAGCCACCAATGACCTACTGGCCTCAACTCAGAATAGCTGCTTCTACAATGGAGGAATTGAACATGGCCCATTTGGATTCCATGTCCCCAGCCTCCCCCGGGATGTGAGAGAAATTCTTCCAGAGGTGTGAGTTGAAGACCTCCTGGACAGGGGCTTCAGGCAGGTGTCCCCAGTGGACCCTCACTACATATTTGGGTTTGCCAGGTCTGTCCAGCAGCCTCCCCGCCATCTGATCCAACATACCACCAGGTGGTGATCATTTAGCAGCTCTGCTCCTCTCTTTACCAGAGTGTCCAAGACATACGGCCTTAGATCCAATGATATGACAACATAGTCAGTCATCAGTCTAAGGCCTAAGGTGTTCTGGTACCAACTACACTTATGAACAACCCTGTGCTTGAACATGGGGTTGGTGATGGCCAATCAATGACTAGCACAGAAGTTCAATAACAAAGCACCATTTGGGTTCAGATGGGCCTCCCCACCAACCTCTTCCAGGTTTCTCTATCATTGCCCATGTGAGTGTTGAAGTCCCCCAGTAGAACTATGGAGTCCCCAGGTGTTGCCCCTTCAAGGACCCCACCCAGGGTCTCCAAGAAGACCACATCCTCTGAACTAGGTACCAACAACAGTCATGGCTTTCCTCTCAGTGACTTTAAGTCACATACAGTTCTACAGAGGAATCATCGAGTCTGTTCTCTGCACCTCTATCACTGTCTGGTTTGGCTCAGCAACCAAACAGGACAAGTACAGACTTCAGCAGACAGTCAGGACTGCAATAAAAACGTCGTTGGTTCAAGCCTGCCCTCCATGGAAGACCTGTACACTGCACGGTTTAAAAGGAGGGCGGAGAGGATCACTGCAGACCCCTCACACCCTGGACACAATCTGTTCAAACTCCTCCCCTCTGGACGGCGCTACAGGTCACTGTGCACCAAGACAACCAGGGACAGGGCACAGGGACAGTTTATTCCCCCACGCCATCACTCTGATGAACACTTAACCAATGACAGTATGACTGGACAATAACTCTCAGTGCAGTTTCTATTTTTAAGTACTTTATTTTTATTCCTTTATTCATATTATCTCATTTCAATGAGCATTCCTTTGTCTGTCTGCATTGTTTACCGCCTGTTTATACTGCTTATTTTGCACTATTTGCACTGGTCGTTGCTTGTTAATACTGCTTATTATTTTTGTTATGTTACACAGCCTTATGCTGGCTTACTGTTTACTTGCCCCTTGCATGGGGATATGTACATACACATTGAGAGCCGATGTACCAAAGTTAAATTCCTTGTGTGTCCAACACACCTGGCCAATAAAGCAATAAAGCAATAAAGCAGATTCTTCATAGAGGCAACCTCTTGTTTCACAGGGAGAACTCCAACACACTGGCACTCAGACTTGGATTTGTGAGTATGCCCAAACCCGCCCAGCACCTCTCACCCTGGGCAACTTCGGAAAAGGATAGAGTCCAAACCCTCTCCAGGAGTTTGGTTCCAGAGCCAGAACAATGTGTGGAGGTAAACCCAACTATATCCAGTTCGTATCGCTCCACCTCCTGCACAAACTCTGGCTCCTTCCCCACCAGAGAGGTGACATTCCACATTCCTAGAGCTAGCCTACGCAGCCAGGGATCAACACGCCCAGGTACCCGATCTAGCCTGCTGCCCAACTTGCATTGTACCTGACTTCAATTTCTTTCCCTGCTGGTGGTGGGTCTGCAAGGTGGTAGCACTATTTCATTTGTTCAGGCTGTGCCTGGCCACCAGATGCTCATCGGCAAGCTTCCCTCCTAGGCCTGGCTCCAGCAGGGTTTCCTGGTTTCCCCTAATGCAGGCAAGGTAGCAGGACTCTAAGCTGCCATTATCGTTTGAGGTTTTGAATCACTCTTAGTTTGGCCACTCCTCTGGGACCAATTTGCCTTGTCTGGTGCATTAGCCCTATCAAGGGCTAATGCACCAGACAACACAGCTCCCAGGATCATTGGGACACACAAACCTCTCCACCACGTTAAGGTGTTGATTCCAGGAGAGCACAAACAAATCAAATAAATAATCTTTTCCCAGCAAATCAAATAAAAATATTTATATATAAATGACATTTTGTTTTTCTTGTGGATTTTGCAATTGCAATACTAGACAGCCAAATATACATTTAGGTATTTTATGATTGTATTTATGAGTGTTTTTTATTTTATTTTATTTCATTTTTTTGGCTAATGTTGAACATGTGCTTTATTGTTGGAACTAAGAATAAATAGATGCATTATTCTTTTGTGAAAACAACTATATGAACAGAAGACAAGTTTTTATTTTAAAATTTTTTATTTATATGCCAAATTTTATATCAACAAATGCAAACTGTGTCAAGGAAAACTCAATATAGGCTACACCATTTCAAAAATGAACTAAGACTATTTTGAAACACTACAACAATAAATTAACCAGAAAAGAAACAGAACTATAATGAATTAAGGACCTCCATTTAATTTAAATATTATGTAGGTTCACCCCTTGTTTATTAAAGTTGTCTTTTGACGTTGTTCTTCTTTAATAACGTTGCACAACTTTATATTGAACTGATAACAACTGGTTAAAAACCTCTGGGTTATCTGCATGGCTGTATTATCTGACATCGACATATCGAGTCTGAAAATCCGGTAGAGCAGGAAAAAACACGGAAGTGTAGTCTACGGCTGTAGTGCAAGCTAACATTCAGCAGTGGTTTGGTGGTCTGTTTGTCAACTGTGGTCCAACCTGAGGCATTGTTTGTGTGGTCCCCTAACATTATAGCAAAATGCCTGAAATACACATATCAAGGTAAGAATACATAATTTTGTAAGGTATAGCTAATTGTGACACGCTAGGGTACGTGATTTTTTTAGTAACTTGTTGAGGTCGCCCCTAACAAATTTAATGTTACTGCAAATTAAGCTAGCTCCTTTGAAATAAATGTCAGTCAAGCGGCTTTTGAGGCTTTGAGTTGCTTCGCTCGCTTACAAGCTAGCGTGCTAGCCCTGTGGTTACAATACAACTAGTTAGACTATCTCTTAGTTGGGTTAGCTTAAGCTGTTTCCGTAAAACCGTGATACTGTAACACTTTTAAAATACTAATGAAATATAAACATTTAATAAATAGTATATATAACACATGACAATTTATTAATCGTAAGTCTATATAAGGACACTTTAAGTGTTCAGGAATAATTATGACCTGTCCTGTGAAGACGCATTTTACATTATTGCAGTTTTTTTTTTTAGACATCTGGTCATTTAATATTTGTTTATACACCAGCCTTCAGTCTTTGGTGGCCACAGGAGGAGTTATAATTTTTTTTTATTAAATACAATCATTAACACCTGAATCTGCTTGCAGCTACCTTATTGGGTATTATAAACAGTTTATGTAATGCTGGTGGATGGTAAATAGAAGTACTTAAAATCAAGTCTTACCTGTGGTTACACACTGAGCTGCAGTGCACAAATGTCTTTCCTGCAGATTTGCAATCAGATTTTGTAAAGTATCAAATTGAATGTTTGGTCTGGCATTATTTTATCTTTGGCAGCAATGTAATTTTCTCTGTTATGATTCCACCACTTTCTTTTATTTCTAATTTCTGTGCCTTTGTCTTCACAATGACAAGGATTCAAGTCATTAACACTAGTGCTAGTGGTGGACTGGAAGGGTTCAAGGCACATGCTGTGTTCCAGGAAATCAACAAGAAACTTCAGGAGGTGATTACATGACTTATAATTGTAGACCGTATTGTTAATATCAGACTGTGGCTTTCTCTTTTTCTCACTTTATATTTTATATTCTTTATATTTTCTGTGACTTTTATTTCCATAATTCTTTAAAATGGAAGTTTTGGTTTAATTCACTGATTTCATTTGACCTGTAACTGTCCATAGGGCTATATCAATCTGTTCAGCACTTACAGTGTGTGCCATACTGCTACATGATCCTGTAGCTATGGGTGTGCAATACTGACAAAAAAAATGATATCTAGATAATTTTGGGGATTTTGTTGACAATGACAATATTTTGCATCCATCAAAAAATGTGTGTACTAGGTCGCTCTTGTTAATAGCATATTAATTGTTGCTGACTAATGGTATTAATGGAAACAACATATTTCATACACTGATTTAAAACTGAAGCATTCAAGTACAACAATACACAAAGCAGTGTTTCCCAAAGAATTATTCTACTTGTGGCAATAGAAGTTTTGTTTGTTTGTCTATGTGCTCGCTGTTGTATCTGACCTGTCCCTTCTGCACTAGCTGGCTCTCGCACAGCTGGAGCATGTTGGCTGCTGTCCTTCTCCTCTACTACATCTCTCTCTACAGCTGCTGTATCTCTTCCAGGCCCTCACTTGCTGCTTCAGAGCACTGGCTGAAGCCAGTAAATATTTGAAACAAATCACTGGGATCGCTAATTACACTGGTTGGAGCCATCAAACTTAACGTGTGTGTTTTTCAGTGTTCTCCTGGACTGATGGGGCAAGCATTCAGTGTACAGTTTATGCACTAGCATGAACCTTATCCATTTGCAGAGCAGTCCATATACATGCATGCTATATACAGTGTGCTGACCTCGGCAACAGCTGTATTCTAATGTTAGCTTAGCTGGCCTTATTAGCTTGCTACAGTAATAACATATTAGAAAAGTTGGATCTCCACAACTGACAATGTTTAAAAAAAAAAACACAAAGAGGAGGAGCTTTTTTACTCATGGTCCATCATCATAGTTGCCGTGTGTGTGAGATGGAGACATAGAGTGCTATAGGGATGACATATTTTATTAGGCCAGTCCAGAAGTTAGTATCACCCTGGTTCCCTCAACAAGAAGCCAATGGGATTATTGCAGAAAATAACCTCTGTGACAAACAGCGGTTTATGGCACTTTCCCCTTTTTGTTCAGCAAGGTAAACTTCACAAGTGAACACAACTTTTATGATTTTTTAAGCTCAAATACCATTGCCAGAAGTAAAAAGCTATTGTTAGGCTGTAAACGAACTACACCACGGTCCCATGACTTCAGCATCATCACTGCTTCCAATATGTAATTTGATGTACTGCACTTACCTATTGTACAGAATCCTTTCCTGTTAGCGTGACTTCATTTGGCTAGTGATCGTGGCTTTGTCAGTTAGAATAGTTTGCAAGTGCATGAGTTTAAAAACAAAGAGGCTGTAACTGCAGACTAATGAGTAGGTGAGTCTCTGTGATGATGTTTAATATCCCAGACAGCCTCTGTGGTCTCATTTAGTCACTTTTTAGCAACCATTTTTTGTTAGACATGTAAAACCATTTAAAATCATGAGTGGGATATTTACTGGTGTATTTTATGTCATAGAATAAAACATGAAAATGTACTGGCCCTGTGTTAACATAGACATTATTTCAGGCATCTAACCAAAAACCCATTCAGAAAATCCATAGACTTCAGGGAGAGGGAACCAGAAGTGCAACAATGCTGACTCAGTTCTGAGTTTTAGGAGTCATTACTATGGCACCTTATAGAGCAAAGCACAGAGGGGTTGAGCGAATACATGTGCACTACATTGAAATCTCACTCATTTGTAACTTTACTAATGCCTTTTTAGGCAGCTATGCTAGCTTGCAGTGACATGGTAGGGACATGTCCCTACCAATATTTTGGGAGAACAGACATGTCCCTAACAATATTTGAGCAAACTTGTGCCTGTTCTCTCTGGAGTGAAGTGATATTATATCATTCCAATGTGCCCTCCCTGAGGCTACATCTACAAGACGACATGCTAATATTTGACTAACTGAAAGAGAGGGGGCGATCTGAAGCTTACATTACATGCAAATCATGTATTTGCTCCCAGACACAGAGAAGGTGATAGCTGTCTGTCATGGCACTGACAACGGCAGGCCTATGTTGTCATGGATGTCTGTCCATACATAAAGCATGGGCAAAAAGTATTTCAGATGACTTATTCCCTTTCCTTTATTGCCTGCACTCCACAGCACACACAATATAACTTTGTCCATGCCACATCTCATCCTTTACAGATAAAATTATTCCACCAAAACAGATAGAGATGTAAGTAGTTTTTCACCATCCAGAGCTTAAGTAAAAGACTAGATGGTTAACTAGCTAGTAGCCACGTTAATTGAAAATGAAAACCTGCTGCCTAATGTCACCAATCTTTACACTGTGGAAAATGTCAACTCATGTTAGTAAACCATGTTAGCTAATGTCAGCTTGTCTTCTGTTATCTAAGCCTAGCAAACACACTGTAAAGTAAACATAAAGTGGGTGGATAGACCTATATCAAAATATAAATTGAATTTCAGGTAAGAAACCCAATGAAAATGTCACAGTTGTAGAATTACTTTGTATGTAGGAAATAGTATCAGGCAAGAGAAGCAGAGCAGGCTGATGAGGGAACAGGCGCATTTTCAGTGTTTCAGGTGAGGCTCTAATTATGAATCGTAGTTTGGAATTATAGGGAGGCATCAGCATTAAAGTTATTCTCATAAAGTTCAGCTTTAGCTCATGAGTTTATTTTGAAAGAAATCTTACATCAGAACAAGTTGGCTTCATACAGCAAGATCCTGTTCATTCATGTTCAGAATTGCCCTAAAAATAAATGAGACCCAGGTAACAAATACAGACCTAAATGTTGTGGATGTTGTGTCCCTACCAGTGTTGAGATCAAACTTACACTTTTGATCATAGACGATATATATCGTAAACGCCTACCTGTATCCTCGTGAATGCACACTTGAATCACTTCCCAAACTGTCATTTCATAGCACAGAAATAATTTCAAGCTTATCCTGACCCAGTCAGACAAATGTGTTCCTCCAGAAGTTTGTGCTTTTCAGCAGTTACCCTTGTATGACCTCGTCCACGCCAGACTTATCTCAAGCTAATCTGCACTGCTGTTAATGTATGAATAGGATTTTTCATCAGTGAGAAAATAGCAACATGGGAACAGTCTGTATGCTGAGAGACATGGTTTAGAATAATATCTCAGCCAACTGAATAGACAGACAGATTTAATAGTTTAGCTAATATTTGAGCTTATCTGTAATGAGAGACTATTAGTGTTTCCATTCTACTTAAATGCCGAGAGGGAAGTGGATTTGGCTGTTTTTTTTTTTTTTTCCCAAATACAAATTTTTAGATTTAGGGTGATATTCCAAGCCATTTAACTTTTCTTTTTTTTTTTGGTTATTTGTTGTATATTCAACTGTAGAGTGGTCTCCATAAACACCTATGTGCATGTTTATGATGTACAATATCTGACATCTTTGTTCTTTGCTTTTGAAGTACATTTATTTTTTCACTTTTTTGCATACTTGTGAACAAGTAATTCTTTGGGAAACACTGGTCAAAACATTTACTTTTGCATTTCTCCATAGTTACAGTGGAAATAAGAATTAATAAATGCATTATAGAATTTTTAATAAACAAATCTAAGTATCTGAATCACACTGACTCTCAGGACCCCAATTAGTGCATTTCATAGCAGATATTCAGAGCCTGGTAATCAGAGATAAACATGAATAAATGTGTTTATAAGTCATTTTTAAAAGTAACTCCTAATAATTTGAGATTGTGCCACACTATCATCAGAATGTCAGGCATTAGGAAAAAATGTTACAAATCATGAGTCATATAGCCCACAGCTAATTAACTGACTCCGACTCCGTGGCTACCTTGTATGGCCTGTTTTCAAGGTTAATACATTTGTCACACACACACACACACAATAAAATAACTGTAAAACTTAGTTTTTAGTTTTTCCACTACTCTATGGACAGTTGCTGCCGTTACCTGAAAAAGCCGTGAACATGCGTTAAAAAAAGCTTTGCAACATTTTCAGATAAATTTTTCCTTGAAAGAGTCCTAGAACATGTGTAGCATCACTCAAATATAAAACAATGTTTTTTGAAAGTAGTATAACTTATCCTAAAAAAAACAATACAGTACATGGTATGTCTAACTAAGACATGTATTGACTATGCCATGAGCTACTAAAATAGAAGCAGAGGAAAATGTATTTAGATGTACTAGAGATACTGTACAGTTTACTGCATGTAAAATCTCTGTGTGCTCGATACAGGACGGGGAGCAGTTTGTGAAGAAGATCGGTGGTGTGTTTGCCTTCAAAGTGAAGGGCGGCCCGAATGGACAGGAGGCAACTTGGTTTGTGGATGTGAAGAACGGCAAAGGCAGTGTTCACAATGACACAGGTAATGAAAACACCATATCACAGTTGTATGTTATTTCATATATCAGTGGAAAGCTACAGTGACGTGGTCATGTTAATAATCAACTATGAGTGGAAATGCAGTTAAAATTTTGAGGCCTGTTTTTCTGTTTCATCTGTACGTGAATAACAAGACCTCTACATTTCTTTTTGCCATAACACCTTTAAATACTGACAGTCAGTGAAATATCCCTCAGTTGTATGTTCCTGTTTATGAATGAACTTTGCCTCCTATATGTTTTTCCTGCAGCTAAGAAAGCAGATTGCACCATTTCCATATCAGATATAGATTTGTTGGACTTGATGACAGGGAAGATGAACCCACAGACTGTGAGTATTCAGCCAAGATGTGGTTTATGTGTACCTGTACCTTTACTTTTGCTCTTTTCATGTCCAGTGTCGGGTGAATGCAGACTCTCTGCATGTTTTTTTTTTTTTTTGTGTGTGCAGTATTTTAATCATAGCTGTCTTAATCCCAGTCTCCAGTGGATGTGGCTGCATCACATTTCGGCTCTGCTCTTCTAGTCACTGTGCCAGCGTCCCCCAGTTGGCTCATGTGGAATTCTGTTCTCCACATTTTTATGCTCTGAGTCTGTTGTTGCTGGAGCAGCTTTGATCTCTGGAACATGACATTCGCTAATGAAACCAAGAGGGTATCTTTGATCTTTAAAGAGTTTATAGTGCGAAATTCCCTTTTGTTGTTTCCACATTTGGTTTTTTCTCATTGAGCTGCTATAGAAGGACAATAACTTAGATTTTTGTACAAAAAGGCTTTAGCTTAGGAAGATAGTTACTTGATATGACTGCTGAAGCAGTGTTTCCCCTATAATAGTACAGCCATGGTGGACCACCATGCCAGGGAGACCCTCCCTGCCTACCCGACAGGCCATTTGTAAAAAATTAATATTGTCCAATATATACCCATTTGGAAATAATTATTTGTGTTTAGAGTGTCTGTCAGGTGCCACTCTCTGTGTGTCCTCTCTGCTCCAGTCTGATTCGCTTCTGACAGCTCAGATAGGAAAAATGAACAAACCCAGGAATACATGAAAAACATGAATGAGAATGACCTTAAAATACCACTCTTAAAGAGGTTTATGGAATCGAGGCATTATCTTCACTGATTCTTCACCCAGGCTTTGTCAAGTTACAGCAAGTTTGTGATATTTAATATTTTTTGTGGAACTGTGTTTGCCTCTTGTTTGCACTTTCAGTATGTTACACCAACATTACAATGTGTCAGTAATCAATGTTGTTATCATAGTTTAGCATAATATAATTGATCACTAAGTAATCATCACAGAGCAAATCTGTGTTGTAATGAAGTTTGAGTAAACTTTCTTATAAAGCAACTAACATCAGTAAAATGTAACATTAAGTTATTTGCCTGCTACTAATGCTAATGTAAGTGTGGCACCAACTAAGAAGAGGAAACCAGGGGATGCTCAGTCAAACATATTAACATTTTTCTCCAAAACTGGGAGACAAATGAAGATGAGGAAGTGAGTAGAGGTAGAGAAGTGGTAGAAGGGAGAGAGGTAGGAAGGTGGGTTGGGGGGTATGGGGCTCTGTTGTTAGCATAAGCATTGGTGATGCAGGTATACAGGCTATGGGTCAAAGGCAGGCTGCAGATAAACCATCAGATAAAAGCAAACGGAACATCTGGCTGGGACCCCGAGTGGTGGTTCATACATTGATGCCATCCTTACTTTTTTTTTCTCAACGCCAAGAAAAATTAAGTGCAACAATGACTCATGCACATTGTGCTCGTGATGAGAAAATGAGCAGTTTGTTTCAAATTGCTGAGCAGTTCAAATTGCCTTTTGCACCAACTTGAGAGTTTCTTAGTTTTGTTATTTGATGTATTTCATTATGTAGATTTTATCTTTTTATTTATTTATTTTTCCCTAAAGATTGTTTTTTCTAACCTCTTTGATTGTGAAATAATTAGCTTTGACAGCTATTTGTGTGTAATAAATAGATCTAATTATGCTTTCCTTGTTTTACATGACCTTTACATGGAAATTATCAACCAAAAGTCGTTAAATAAAATTGAATTTCACAGTGTATGTGGTAGGGCTGCCCTGTAAATGATGATTCACACAACCATTTGAGAAGCAACCCAGTTCAACCTCATCTCAGCAAGTTGAATCACAGAACTTTTCTGTTCTGCGCCACTGAAATGCAGGATGTATACCTTTTACCTTTACAGACCTGTCTCTGAATTACCTGGGGAAAAAACTGTGATGGAAACAGAGATGTGATGGAAAAGGAGGGCATGATTCATTTCTCTTTTCAGTCCCGATGCTGAGGTTTTCACATCACACATGACCCCAGAACAGCCTGAAGTGGGGACTCAGCCATTCAGCTCAAATTTTAAAATTTCATGTGAGGATTTGGGATTCGCTATTTACAGCCTGTATGTGCAGGAACAATAATCACAGCAACAGTCTTTGTATGGGTTGCTTGTTGGTTCAGGACAGACTTTAAAAAAAGTGAACCTATCATTTCACAAACTTACTGCAGAACTATTTTTTCTTGAAGAAGCTAGAGAAGGAGAAAAGAAGTTAAAAGGAGAGGGGTGGGCTGTTGCGAGTGGTAGTGGTGATGGGGAGGTAATACAGAAGATGGAACATGATGCACCTGGGTTCAGTGAACATCTGAGCTTACACTTGTTTGTTTGGCACCTCATAACATTTGATTGATCAAGAAAACCTGATTTATAGAACTACAGTGCCTTGCGAAAGTAT